ATATGACAGAAAATCAGCTAAGATCGTGTCTAGGATGTAACAAATTTTCTCAAATTTTAGATATCTAGTAGATGTCAATGGATTTCGGAATGTACATATACATTACATGCAAAGGCTTATGTGTGTGTATATGCATTGCCGCTTTTCTCTTTTAAATGTATGCTTGAGCTTTATTCCAACAAAAACCATTGGTGTTGTAGTTGGATGACCATTTTTGAAGTGAAGTTAGCGAGATCAAACTTTCTCCACCGCTGGCCATCCGCCGATCAGCCGCGCCACTACCAATAGCAACCTGCAGGCTGAACGACGAAGGCCCTTCCCCAACTTACTGCCATGGAAATCTATCACTGCCAAATTCCTAAAGACTTATTGGCTTATTGCCCTTCGTATGAAGCCTATATTGCCATAGAGGATTCAATTTATTCTTCAATACCATAAACCCACCTCCTTTTAGATCCTCAATCTATTTCATTGAACCCTACATTGAGAGAAAGACATGATCAACCATGGCAATTATTAGGTCTACTAGATGATTATTCTCAAGCCTCCTTTTAATGTTCAAGGTTGTGTTGATAAATTATTAGGTAAAGATAGAGATATAAAAGATGGGGAAAAAAGGAAGATGATCCACAACCATGACAAGTAGTGGGGGTGGGCGGACTTGGCCAGGAAGGGTTGGGGCTATTTTTTTTTAAAATTTTATTCAAGTTTTATTTTTTATTCTTTTAAGTATGAAAATGTAAAAATAAACTTTTAAATCTTTCTGGATAAAGAGTTTTATTTTCTTATAATAAAAATAAGACACATGGCAAGACCAATCATTTACTTAGATAGGAGTCACTGTCACAGCATGGTTGATTCGCTTGGCACTCCTTTTTGAATAGCTTCCTTGCTGCAGTGATTGATTCCCACATTTCTTAGTGCGGCTTTTGAAGTGGTTTTGTACCACTTGGGCTTTTGATGTGGTTTTACACCACTTGAGCTTTTGATGTGGTTTTATACCACTTGAGCTTTAATTTGCTACCTTGGAAACTAATGGGCATTTTGAATTTGAACCCACTAATCCATGATTTGTGAATTTAAGAACTCGGACTAATTGTTTGCCAATCATATTTTTAATGGACCACACCATTGAGCTTGAGACTTGTAATGGAATAAGCCCATCATATTTAATACCGTCAAATCTTAAGATGCGAGATTGGAGACGTCAGGTCTTGAGATATTTTCTTTCACTTGACAGTCTAATATTTTAATATGCATAATTTAGACTTTATGTTTTGGGCTCTCGGACTTGTTGCGTGGTCTTTGTGACCTTGTGCAACAAACCCATGAATCCCATTTCAACTGATTTGACAGTCCCTAAATGACTCAGCTTTGAATTTGAGTGGAACTACACTATTGCAAACAAACTTAAGATGGAGATCCTTCGAGGAGTGAAGCCTTGGTGTTTTGCTTTCTCAATCTTGCCCTGAGTATGTGAGCCCGTGAAGTTTTGAGACATGCTGTATCACAAAAGGAAGGCATCATGCTGCTTCTTTCCTTTCGATCTTTCACGTGGTGGATTTGTGGGTTTGACCCTATGATGATTTGTGGGTTTTACCACATAAGGGATTCATCATCTATAGAATTTGGTTTATGGGTACCGAGCATGGAGGACTTCAAGAGAGGAGCCTTGTTGCAGATGCAATGTGTATCTTTAATTGCTTCTATCTTTGCAGGGAATAGAGGTGTTAAGCCTCATTTTTATTTTTAATCTTTGCGGCCTCATGGCTGCTCCTCTGTCTCCCCCCATTTTTTTTTCTTTCTTATTGCCGTGCTTTATAGGCTATAGATCTTAGAGATGTCTTTAGTGAAGGATTTTTCATTCACATATTGAATAATCAGCTCCACAAAAACAAGGGCCACCATCCTCTCTTGAGAGTTTTCATTGGTTGGTCAAACTCCCCTATCTCCATCCTTGTCATGCTATTTATCAGCTAGCTTTGAGGCTGAGGATAAAATAAACTCCAATTTGAAAAGCCCAACAACTTTCTTCCCACAATTTCTGAAAACCTGATCACTTCCTTTTCTCTAGGATTATGATCAAAGCCAATTTGACTTCTTTGTTGTTTCAATGCACGTGGGTATCAAACCCACTCAAAGTTGTGGGACTCATCCAATCCTGCGTTTGATTTTTTTTTTTAATTGAATTATTTTGGTTTAACGAAAAGATGAAAAATCATGAGATAGCCTGTGTTTGTGCAAAAATCTTCACGGAAGAATATTCGCTTGTGGACTCTTCAACCTTTGATCTTCATTCTCTCTCTTCCTCGATTCCTATAAAAAAAAAAAAAAGGGAGAAAATAGACCATACTTGGGGGTTGTTGGCAAAGGTCATTCGATGCCTAAGTTAGGTAAAAAAGGGTACGGAGATATATGTATGGTGTGAACTGGGCGGCTTGAGCCATGGGTGATGATCGGAGCCGTGTATATAAAATATGGAGAGAGGAGACTGGTGTGGCTGGCGGCGGTTGTGGCACCGTCGGCTAGGGAGAGAGAGATATGGAGAGTTTCGGGTATTTTCTCAGGTTTTAGAATTTTCTCAGCATCTAGGGTTTTGCAAAGAATAAACTCTTATTAGGAAGGGGTTTATTCTTTCTCCAAATTGTAGAGATTGAGTCTATTAGGGATTTGATTGGGATCAAATCTCCTAATTTGACGATGACAATATCTCCTAATTAGGATAATATCGAAATTGGTGGTATTATCTTATTAAATAAAGATAATATACCATATTTAAGATATTATCCCTAATTTTAGTATTAATTAATTGGCCAAATAAATGGACTCAATTAATTAACTTAAGGGATATTCTTCTCATCTACGTGGCTTCTTGTGATTGGAAACTGAAATATTTGCTCCCATAGCCTGCAATATTGTCTGCTTTGTATATTAGTTTGAATTATGCATCTGGTTCACTTGTAGAATCATTTTGCTTTGTTCATTAACCTGAATGAAAATTAACCAACTTTATAGCAGCATGTTGCATGACTTGATATAATTATGTCAATAAATAACATCAGAGTGTTCTAGTATTCTCTTGAAATGAAGTTTGAAGTGTATAGGATAGGGGGTGGGGTTAAATTTGAAGAGCACTAAGAGCATCTCCAGTAGAGTTGCTATACTTTGATTCTTAACTATTTTGGCTAGAATGAGGGCAAAATGCAATTTCAGCAGATTTGCTATTAAGCTCTCTATTTTGGACAACTCTCTATTTGAGTTTGGTGGCTCTCTACATTTAGAAAGGAGGAGAGAGAAATTGAGGGTCCTTAGAAGTAATTTTACAAAGGCATAAATTTATCTTTAAAATTTTAAAAATAAAATGAATAAGAAAATAGGACAGGGGATGGAAATAGTAGCACTCAATGAAAAAGGAATGAAGAACGTGAATCATTCAAAACGCATGAGAAATTGAAGAATAATTTGAATCACTAATCGAAACAACATTCACACGCGGTGGCATCCGTAAGACCAATACTTGTGTGGTGTCTGTTGGTCCCAAATAAGACTAATAATTGTAGCATGTCTGTTTCTAGAGGTGGCATCCGTAAAATGGACCACATGTGGGTCTGCCTTCTTGAAAAAATTGTACAAATTAATTAATGATGAGAAAAATCGGATGAAATGTATACTTTTCTTCTTCAGCGATGTGACACAATTAAATGTTGATGGATTACAGAATTAAAAAAATTCATTTAACAAACAAATTGAAAACTGAGGAAGAATTAGGGGACTATAGATATAATCTTGTAATAATGGAATTCATTGTCTTTGGAAATGGTGAATCTCCATATTCATGCAGGTTTTAGCTCAAGAAGTTAGAATATATCTATTCACAGGCCTGAGTGGCTTTGGCTCTTCTTCCTTTCTCAAATACTAAGATGAAAAATGAGGTATTGTACCAGTATGCTTGCCATTATCGGACATGGAGAGATTTCAACAGGAGCTTGAGAAGATGACTCTGGAGTCTCTTAAGGATATTTATAACAATAAATCAGCTAGGATCAAGTCAAGGATGTAACAAATTCATCAAATGCCAGATCGCTTAGTGTATGATGTCAATGAATTTTGGAATGTAACATAAGAACTAGATGCAAAGGTTTGTGTTAACATAAAAATAAATTGCAATTTAATCGGCAATGTGTTGTAATTCGAGGAAGAATAAAACATCATTTGGTGTTTGTGAACCATAATTGAAATCCGCCCGTGAGAAAGGAATGAAGAATGTGAATCATTCAAAACGCATGAGAAATTGAAGAATAATTTGAATCACTAATCATCCAAATCTTTTCCATGCGTACGTGGTCTATCAATTTGACTGGATTTTGTGAAATGGAAAAGGAAAGTGGCACAAGTATAGTAACCTTATGTGGTACCGTCTATCAATTGATGTCAAGCCACAGAAGCTCAAACACGTCTATAAATATATACCTGTCTATACCTGTCTATCATAAGGGTAGTACTCGTGCTTTTATTTTAAAGTTATCAAAATTTTCTTTGGTAGGTTTTCAAGCCCACTCGCTTGTGCAATGATTTCCCCATCCGCCCTCCTATTTCAGGTGAACCGTTTGAAGCCAGAACTTATAACACCGGCGAAGCCAACACCTCATGAAACAAAGCTACTCTCTAATATTGATGACCAGGAAAGCCTTAGGTTTCAGGTTCCAGTCATAATGTCGTACAAGAACAATCCTTCAATGAAAGGAAACGATGCCGTTGAGGTGATCAGGGAAGCATTGAGTCGGGCACTCGTGTATTACTACCCTTTGGCTGGCAGGCTCAGGGAAGGACCTAACAGGAAGCTTATGGTGGAGTGCAATGGAGAAGGTGTCTTGTTCATAGAGGGTAATGCTGACATCACGCTTGCGCAACTCGGGGACACGATTGCACCTCCTTCTCCATTCTTAGAGGAGTTTCTTTATAATGTTCCAGGCTCTGATGGGATTGTTGGTTGCCCTCTGTTGCTGATTCAGGTGAGTACGTTAGTTAACTGCATGTTAATTAATATATGTTTTTGAATTTCTTGGTGGATCTTGGCCCTTCTATACAATGAAAGTTTCTGATCGTCTCCAAATAAAACCATCTACTGACTTCTAAGATTGTACAAATGGTGAGAAATATCAGGTGAGTTAAAACAAAGTTCGATATACAAAAAACTAATAAAAAATATCTAGCCTCATAGTTCTCAAGTACTATATGCTGCTCTGAGTTGTTGACTCTTCCAACGGGAAAAAAGATAGTTGGATCTAGGTGGATATCTTTACCATAAAAACAAGAGCAATAGCAACCTTTTGTCACTAACTAATTGGTATTGGTGCCAATTGAATGGTTGGTCAATGCTTTTGTTTACTTATCACTATTATTTGCGACTAATCTCTCACATTTTAATACTTTGGCGATAGTTGATTTAAATATAATATATATATATATATATATATAAAGCAAAAGACAGGGAATGATGAAACATTTAAAATACCAGAAAATGCCCTTAGTTAATGCAAACATTAAGAATTGAATCTATATATATAAAACAAAAGGTAGAGAATGGTGAAACATTTAAAATACCAGAAAATGTCCTTAGTTAATGCAAACATTAAGAATTGAAATTATTAATTAAATGAGGATAATATGGTAAATTCACACTTTTTCATATTTAAAAAAATTAAAATTAAAAGAAAAATCAGATAATGGATATCCTATTTATATGGAACACAACTACCCATTATCTTTTTTAATTCTAAAATAAATTTAATTTTTTTTTTAAAAGCCTCTCGCAGGCGCGGAAGCGCATGCGGAGATGCTAGTAAATATAAAACTAATTATTGTGATTAACACCGAAACAGTAATTTTTCATGACTAATATTTGATTAGAGCCTTGCTAATAATTGTAATCCAATAAAATATTCAGGGGATTACCCAACCTCTCGTCTCCTACTCCTCAAACAAATCGAAACTTACCCCTTTTCTTTTGTAAGCTCTTCTCTCCCAAAACAACCCAGCAACCCCTTTCTTGTCTGATTAGTCGTACCAAATTTTGTAACGTTTGAATTAGCAAAAGTATTTTCTTGAATATGAGTTAGTCGTACCAAATTTTTAAGCTTGTGGCTTCCCATCGAGAAAGCTCTACCTTCATGATTCTATTACTTCCTAAGTTTTAATGAATAATTGATTTTCTATAATAATAAAAACAAAAAAACAAAAAAAAACAAAAAAAACTCAACTCTCATCTACAAATTTGAACTCAAACGTATCTTTAAACTAGAAATTGAGTACCAATAGAAGTCAAACGTATATACAAGTAAAAATGTTAGGGACACCAAATTTGAATTCCAAATGAGAGGTGGCATTAGCCACATCATCAGATATTCAATTAAATTTGACACATGGTTCATCTATTTTATCACTAAAATTTAAAAACTAATTTGTGATTTAACCTAAAAAGTCACCACTACAAAACGCCCGCCCGCTGAACTGCCCCTTACTAATACACCAAATTTATTTATTTTCTTATTCTAACCTCCATTATAATCAACAAAATAAACTTCAATATGTACACCCATCAAATATGGGGTTTATAGAAAGGATTTCATTGAAAATCAATGTCATTATTCGAGGTTTTGGGATCCTGCCTTTGAAACAGCCCACATGTTCGCCCATAAAAGAAGGGACATTTTTGCTATGAGGATTATATGATCCAAGGTCGGCCTCGTATTTATTTCATGATTAATTTGGATACCTGGTGGTCTAGAGTGGTGAGGAGCAACGCAGTAGGCGGCAGGCACGACGGAGGGAAGATTGGTGGTTGTAAGTAAAACACAAGTGTTCTAAAGTGGTGGCTTTTCAGTTAACTCATAAATTAGTTTTTAATTTTTTGTTGTCAAAATAAATAATTAATGATTAGCACATGTGTCAATTTTAATTAAAATATGATGATGTGGTTGTGCCACCTTATTTGAGAATCAAATTTGGTGTATAAATTTGGTGCTAGCAGTACTCATATACAAGACCCTTGCTGAATCTATTATGCGCAAAATATATTGAGATAAAAAATTACACTGAGAATATGAAGCCTAGTGATTAATTCAAGCTTCTACAATATACAGGTAACCCGTCTTTCATGTGGAGGTTTTATACTTGCATTGCGCCTAAATCACACAATGTGTGACGCAGCTGGGCTTCTCCAGTTCTTGAACGCCGTTGGGGAGATGGCACAAGGTGCTCAAGCGCCATCTACTACACCAGTGTGGGAGCGAGAGCTCTTGGGTGCTCGAGATCCGCCACGAATTACGCGTGTGCATCATGAATATGAAGAAGGGATTGATGCTCAAGGCTCATTTCCAAGCACTAACAAGCCAAACATGGTCCAACGATCTTTCTATTTTGGGGCCAAGGAGATAAAGGCCATTCGGAATCATATTCCACCGCAGTTATCAACCTGCACTACATTTGATTTGATAACAGCTTGTTTGTGGAAATGCCGCACACTTGCACTTAGAATGAATCCAAAACAAGTTGTTCGCCTTTCATGCTTAGTCAGTGCACGCGGTAAGCGCCACAATGTACGTCTACCCTTGGGATATTATGGCAATACGGTTGCATTTCCTGCTGCAGTTTCAGAGGCTAAAGCTGTATGTACAAATCCATTGGGATATGCTTTGGAGTTGGTAATGAAGGCAAAAGCTACAGTGAATGAAGAGTACATGAGATCAGTTGCAGATCTTATGGAAATAAGAGGACGACTACCAAAATATCCATTGACAGGAAACTTCATAGTTTCCGATAATTCGCGTGCAGGTTTTGGAGAGGTCAGTTTTGGTTGGGGCAAGCCGGTATTTGGTGGACCTGCGAAGGCCTTGAATTTGATTAGCTTCTATGTTCAACACAAATGCAACAATGAGGATGGGGTATTGGTACCAATATGCTTGCCATTATCGGACATGGAGAGATTTCAGAAGGAGCTCGAGAAGATGACTGTGGAGACTGTGCAAACTACGGAGGATATATATGACACAAAATCAGCTAAGATCGTGTCAAGGATGTAATCTCAAATTTTAGATTTCTAGTGTGATGTCAATGGATTTCGGAATGTACCATATACATTAATGTTTTTGTGATTTTCGTGCGTATGTATGCTTGACTTTTTCTATGAGCTTTATTCCAACAAAAACTATTGGTGTTGTAGTTGCATGACCATTTTTGGAGTGAAGTTAGCGAGATGAAAGGTTCTCCACCGCTGGCCGCCGCCGGACTGCCGTCCCTCCCCGGTCAGCCGCGCCACTACCAATAGCAACCAGCAGGCTGAACGACGAAGGCCCTTCCCCCAACTTACTGCCATGGAAATCTATCACTGCCAAATTCCTAAAGACTTATTGGCATATTGACCTTCGTATGAAGCCTATATTGCCATAGAGGATTCAGTTTATTTTTCAATACCATAAACCCACCTCCCTTCAGATCCACAATCTATTTCATTGAACCCTACATTGAGAGAGAGAGACAAGATCAACCATGGAAATTATTAGGTCTACTAGATGATGATTCTCAAGCCTCCTTTTAATGTTCAAGGTTGTTTTGAGAAATTGTAAGGTAAAGAGATATGAAAGATGGGGAAAAAGGGAAGATGAGCCACAACCATGACAGGCCGTGGGGGTGGGGGGACTTGTCAAAGCAGTTCATGCACCAGTACGCGTTGAATTTACAGTTGTAGCTTTCACTAAATTAGTCACGTCTAATCGATAGTACTGGTGCCTGCAACATCTTAAATAGCTAGCTATAGCCTATATGACAAATCCCCGTCCTTTTAATTGCAAGGATTGTCCAATATTCATACAAAAGGATTTAACATGCGTATGTGGTCCTTGTTTTCTAAAGATATCTTACTTGTGTGTATCTGTTGTATGTATGTAAGCTTTCAAGTGTTCATCTTATCTTATCTAAGGTCCACATATTTCTTAACAAAATGTGGATGACATGAACCCAGAAATTACGAACAGTCATTATAAGCTCAACTTATATATCAAAAGTACATGATCCATAAACAACAAAAATCATATTTAGGTTCGTAGAGCTTCTAAAATTTCAACAAAACAAAACAAAAGTTCTCAAGTGGCTTAGTGGCTCTTCAATATGGCTAGTTCTCAAGTGACTCAATTGTACACAAAAAGCTGGTTTGACTTCAAGTCCATCATCTACAAATCAAAAAGCAAAAGCAGTAACATTAAAAATACAAACAATCATTGAAAAATTCTTGATCTTCTAGCATTTCGAGAAGCAAAATAATTAATAACCTCTTCAAAATCCATATTTTCCAACATATTTTCAATGCATAAGATTGCCAATCCATTTAACCATTCTTGTGACATAGTTGATCGCAAATAATATTTTTTTAATTTTAATTTTGAAAAACATCTTTCTGCATATGCCATAGTTACTGACAGAGTCAATATAATTCTATGAGCAATTGAGACATTTGTAAAACAATCCACAACTTTTACAAACTCAAGAACTTCAATGGCTATCTTTATTTCTTTCAGTAAATACATTTGTAACACTTCCAATTCAGAAAACAAATAATCAGCATATTAGATTCATTATCATGTGTTAAAGTAGCTTCAAGATTTCTACAACATTCAAGCAATCTGCTATAATTCATTTGAAATAAATTCTTAGGATCAAACAAAAAATTAAAAATGCCTTCAACTATTTCTAATTGTTCAAATTTACTCCTCAAAGAAGAAATTGGAACATCAACTACAACAAGAAAATAACTAACCCTAAAAGATTCTTCAGTAGATTGAAATGTCTCTTTATGATCATTTTCATCAAATTGTTTTTTTCTTTGACTTTGACATTTTTCAGGAAATACAATGTCAATTTCCATCTTTGATGCAATCTCTTTAGCAGAAAGTAGGGCCAATGTGAACCCATTTTCCCTATACATGTGTTGCACAACACCAAAAAATGACATAACTTTAACACAAAAGTTTGCCATATCACAACCTGTTAAATTAAGAGATTGACAAGCACATGGCATATAAAGTGCCCTAGGATTTATTTTAAGAAGCCTCTTTTGCACACCATTGTTTGTCCCTTTCATGTTAGCTCCATTATCATAACCTTGGCCCCTTACATTATTAATATCAAGTTCAAGACACTTTCATACAACTAATACAACTTGTAACTCATTAAAAAGCCCACATCTAAATGTATCATCCACTTTCAAGAACTCTAAAAAATACGCATCTACCTTTATGGGAGCATTTAACACATCTACATATCGAATTATTAAAGTCATTTGCTCATGGTGACTTACATCCAGAGTACAATCAAGTATTATAGAAAAATATTTTGCCTCTTTGATTTTTTCAATTATAGCACTTCTAACCTTGGAGCCTAACATACCAAAAATGTCATCTTCAATTTTATGACTAAGATAGTGATAATGAATCTCATTATTTTGAATACGCCTAAAATGCTCTTGCAATACCAAATCAAATTATGCAATTAATTTAAGCAGCCCCAAAAAGTTACCATTGTTATCTTGGTAAATTTTCTCATTCTCTCCATGAAAAGCTAAACTTCTTTTAGCAAGGCATCTCACAACTCGGCACCAAGATTGGGGATCCTGCTATTGTGTTTGCTTCCAAAAACATTGCTCTGGTTTCTTAGCCTACAAGGTCTTGCCCTTCTGCTGTCCCGCCTCATCGCCTGACTTTTGCAAAAAAAGACAAACTGAAATGTGATCATTATCGACACCTGTTGGGCATTGCATGGGGTACCAGATTGGGAGAAGGAGCAGAGGCATTTAAAAGGAACAATTGGGCGGCAAAGCTCATTTGGTCTTTGGCGCCACTTCAGTCACTGACGTCACTACTGGGCACGACCACCTTACTGCTACTCCTCCTCCGACCTTGACCGCGGTCTCAAGCACTCTAACACTTCCGCCTCCAAATAACTTTGGCAAGGTTTTTCATACTCATGATACACGCGATACAAGTTGGATTTTTTATTTAAGAGCTACTGACCATATGACATATAATTCTGCTTTTACTACTCTTCAACCTCATTTTGATCATGTTGTGACTGCTAATAGTGTTGATGCTCCTGTCACGGGGGTTGGTTCTGTACTCTTGACACCTACTTTACCATTGGACAAAGTGTTGTTGGTTCCATCTTTGTCTAGTAATTTATTATCTGTGCCGCAAGTTACTGAGTAGTTAAACTGCATTGTACTGATGTATCCGTATTTTATCTTACTACAGGATATCCAGACTCGGGATATATTTGGTCATGGTACTAAAAACGGGGGGCTTTATTATGTGGATAATGTGGCAACTAATCGTGCTGGTAGCGCCAACACTTCTCAACGTTGCCATATTTGGTCATGCCTCTTTTGGATATTTACGACATTTGTTTCCTGCATTATTTAGTGGTGTCAACGAGTCTGCTTTCTAGTGTTAGACTTGTGTTTTAGCTAAGAGTCATTGTCTACCCTCCAAGGTTGTAATAAATGTCTTATGCCATTTGATTTAGTTCATTCTGATGTTTGGGGAACTTCCCCTGTTTCTACAGCCTTGGGAGTTCGCTGGTTTATGTTATTTGTAGATGATTGCACTCGTACGATGTGGTTATATGGGATGAAAAATAAAAATGATGTGGTCGAAATTTTTCAGCGTTTCTATTAGATGATTCAGACTCAATTTATGCTCCATATCAAGGTTTTTTTATTTGATAATGGTGGAGAATTTTTTAATTCGGCGTTATCCCATTTTTTCACACTAACGGTGTACTCCATGAGACTACTTGCCCTCAAACACCACAACAGAATAGGGTTGCTGAATGTAACAATGGGCAGATCCTTGTTGCTGCCCGTGCTCTGCTACTTGGTGCATCAGTTTCAAAGCGGTTCTTGATGGATGCTCTTACCTATGCAGTCTATCTCTTGAATCATCTAACTTCACGAGTTTTGGATTTCTGAACTCCTATGCAGGTACTGACCCATCATATCTCTACCTCTTCTATGTTGACTTTGTCTCCAAAGGTGTGTGATTGTGTTGTTTATGTTCAGCTCCATCAGAATCAGAGTAAGGTAGACGTCTATGCTCTCTGTTGTGTCTTTTTGGGTTTCTCTCCTCATCAGAAAGGCTACTGGTGCTATCATCCTGCAACCCGACGTCTATATGTTTCTATGGGTGTTACCTTTATTAAGGATGAGATGTTCTTCTTTGACACACCCGAGCATGTCCTTCAAGGGGAGACTAGTAGTGAAGGATGTAGCTGGCTAGATTTACAAGGAGTGGTATTGGATAGTTTGTTATAAATGGGATAACCGACCGACCCTGCTAAACTTGCTACATCGGCCAAACCTGCAACACCAGCTAAACCTGCTATTCAAACTGATGTCGTTAATGTTACTGAACTGATTGCCCCTTTTAAATCTTCTCTAATAGTACCCGATCAAGCTCCCCTGGATATTCCTGAGGTAAATACTTCTATTCATACTGCTGGTAATTCTTATGTTCTACCGCCTAGACAGAACAATGGGGTTCCACCTAATCGTTACTCACCAGAAGGCAAAGCAAAATATGTTATTGCCCATTATATATCTGATCACAGGTTTATCTCCTGAGTGCAAAGCGTTTGTCTCAAGAATGGATAGTATTAAAATTCAAACTTGTGTTTATGAGACATCTAATGATCTAAAGTGGGTTGAAACCATGAATATTGAAATGGAGGCATTGCAGAAAAATAATACATGGGCTATTGTTGTTCTACCAAAGGGAATGAAGCCTGTAGGATGTATATGAGTGTTTACAGTTAAAAATAATGCAGATGGCACTGTGGAGAGGTACACGGCAAGATTAGTAGCTAAAGGGTTCACTCAGACATATGAAGTTGATTATCATGATACTTTTGCACTTGTAGCTACGATGAATACTGTCAAAGTTTTGTTGTTCTTAGCAATAAACCTGGATTGGCCCCTGAGGCAATTTGATGTAAAAAAATGCATTCTTACATGGTGAACTAGAATAAGAAGTGTACATGAGTCTTCCATCAGGGTATAGCGTTATCGGTAACACAGGGAATGTGTGCAGATTAAAAAAGGCGTTGTACGGGTTAAAGCACTCTCCTCAGGTATGGTTTGGCAGATTGACTGCAGCTATGAAGATGTTTGGTTACTAACAAGCCAATACTAATCATACTCTATTCATTAAACTTAGGCCTGGTAAGGTGACTTTGTTGATTATTTATGTTGATGATATGATTGTGACTGGTGATGATATTGTAGAAATCGAGGAACTGCAGAAGCGTTTAGCATCTGAATTTGAGATGAAAGATTTGGACAATCTGAAATATTTTCTAGGAGTGGAAGTCACTCAATCTAAACATGGCTTATTTCTTTCATAAAGGAAGTATGTCATGGACCTGCTAGCAAATATTGGAATGCTTGACTATAAACCAGCTAATACACTTATTGTTGAGAATCATAAACTTGGGGTTTATGTGGATCAAGTCCTAACTAACAAAGAAATATACCAAAGGTTGGTTGGAGATTGATTTATTTATCACTGACACTCCCTGATATTTGCGGTAAGTGTTAGAAATGTGCCCTTAAAGCAAACTAATTATGTGATAGTTAAAGTTAAGGACATCTATGATAAAAGACATATTATGTTATGAATGGGTAAGAAAAGTTGTTTTATATATTAAATCATCCTACATTATCTTTCAATATGTAGAACAATCATAGTCCAAGGAATACACAAGTAGATATGAGAGCTATGTAATGAGATTGCATACATGGAGACTTCTCATCATCCTTATATCTTGAATATGTTCCTGGTCATAGGAATATTGATTGGGCGTCAATATTCCACAAAGACCAGTACATACAGTATTGTCTCTATATGTAGGGAATAGCAAGGTCTTAAGTCATTAAGTCTAGAGACACATCAATATGTGTGTAGGTGCTTGCAGAAGAACAAGCACACTGAACGCGATCCAACACATGAATTACAGCATGGAAGTCTTTACTCACATGCCAAGCTGGAACTTATAAATTGCAATGGTGAAAACTAATCCTTAGACCTGAGGCATCATAGATGTTTTGTGACTATGTTGTTAATCTTTTAGGGCACTATACGGTCATGCTGAATTAGGCATATCTTAAAGGTGCTCATCAGGATTCTCAATAGAGTCATGGAAGCAAATGAATGTACAATAAGGAATCTCTACTCTCAGTAAAGGAGAGAGAATACTCCAAGATATGATTGGTCAAATCTGTGCGCAGAGTAATGGATAAGACTTGAAAGAAGAAGTCTTCAAATATGACCAAGATAATCATATAAAAGGAATGATTCATATTAGGATATTGACAATCGGATTCCATGATCTAATAATGTGAATAAGGAGTTTTGACATAAGAGAAGGATTCAATTGCACGGTCATTCCAATTTGAATAGGTTCTTTCACAACATCTCATTTAGCTCGAATAACCATGACTTGCTGATAGGTGACAACCATGGTTTGTGGATGTCCTAAAAGGTTTCAATTAACCTTCATTAAAAGGAAGAATTAAATTGTGGAATTAAATTCGTATATCATCTCTGAGGAGTTGGGTCAACCCACTACCTTACTAAAGGGAACCTACGGATCTACACACTCAAAGAATGTGATTAGAGGTACAAATGAGGGTAAATGAAATGAGGAGACACAAGTCAGTGGTTGATAATCAAATATCAAAGTCAACGGTCAAAAGTCAACATGTTGACCGGAGTAATTGGCCAAAGTTCGACCGGATAAATTAAGTAAGACTATAATTATAATTTAATAGTTAAATTATAATTAAAAAAATTAATTATGAAATTAATATTGACATATAGAAATATTGGATTGGACTTTGAAATATGATGTGAAAGGAAAGAGACAAAATAACCCAAAAGGCTATTGGGCCCAAAGGATAAGTGGCATAAGATGACATGACCCATGGACTAAATGGAGTTCCACAAATACCCACCCAATTGCCTTTTGTGTTGTCCTTTATAAGCTAAGTGTTGGAGAAAACCTAGCTAGGGTTTTTTGGTTTCCTACTTTGGTTGATGAGTGATCATCTTTGTATCTCATCTTCCATAAACCAAAAATTGGTGTGGTGAGGTAGAAGACTCCAATCTTGGAGCCTTAAGGTTAAGGAGTCAAAATCAAGAAAAACAAAAGGCCTTTCCAACAAAGGTATTCATTCTTGAGAAATTAAGAAAAGGTCATCAAGGGTAAAGATCTATTCCATTTTTCCTTTTTCTATTTGTGTTTAAAGAGAATAGGCTAAGATACTTAGTTTAAAATGAAAAAGGTTTACCTCAACTAGTATAAACAAAATGAATCCGCCATTTAGAATGTTTTTGTTGTATAGGTTGTGGGTAAAGTTCATTTCCTAAGCATTAGATGCATGTTTCCTTCAATAAGCATTGCTAGCCAATTTATGCATTCACCTAAGGAGGATTATATAGCTGTTGTGATGCATATTCTGAGTTACTTAAAGTCTACTCTTGGGAGAGGTTTATTATTTAAGAAAAATGGCAACTTAGATCTAGAAGGTTACACTAACACAGATTATGCAGGGAATATTACAGACAGACGTTCTACATCAGGTTACTTCACCTCTATTCGTGGTAACTTGGTTACGTGGCGTAGTAAGAAGCAAAACGTTGTGTCTCAATCCTCTACAGAGTCTGAGTACAGAGGGATTGCCCAAGGGGTCTGTGAAATATTGTGTTGAGGTGGTTACTTACTGAAATTGGGTTTAGACCGAATGCTGCTACAAAGCTCCACTGTGATAGTCAGTCTGCACTTGAAATTGCAAACAATCCGGTGCAACATGATCAAACTAAGTATGTAGAAGTTGATCGACATTTCATTAAGGAGAAGTTGAAGCATAAGTTAATTTCTATACATTTTGTGCCTTCTTCGGAGCAGCTTGCAGATATGTTGAGCCATGTTGTGTCAAAGCGCCGATTTGAAGACTCACTTGACAAGTTGGGTATTACCGATATCTATGCACCAACTTGAGGGGGAGTGTTGGTATGAGTCAAAGTCAACGTTCCTATTAGGAATAGATTTTATATTTTATTGTAATTATCTAATTTGAGTAGAATTAGGAGATTTTGTACATATTTCCTATTTGTACCCATTATGTATATAGTATATATATTTCTCCTTGAGAGAAGAATAAACATATCAATTCAAACCCTAATTACTTTTGAATGATTCATGAATGGAAAGAATTATTCACTCAAGCCCACCATGTCAAGACAAGAACGAACAACCTTTTCCATGCGTGGTCCTCCTCATGTTTTGTATTTGTTGTACCTGTTGCTAATTGAACTGTGAAGTGTTCATCTTATCCACATATATGTTAACAAATATGAGGACGACATAAACCCAAATTTTTTGAACCGTCAGTAATAATCGAAGCTTATAATATAAACCAAGGATTTGTAGTGTTGGACCTGATATATCTGGTGTAAAATATAGGCTTAAATGTCAAAATGGTATGTGTGTTATATCATGTTGGTCAATTTAGTTCCCATATATTTTTTTATTTTTTGGCCAATTTAATTGCCGTGTTTAGAATAATTAGTCAATGTGGTACATTCCGTTAAATTTACCGTTAAATAAACATTATCCTTTATTCTTTTTTTTTTTGGTCTTTTAAAAACCTAAAAACTTTTATTAAATTTAATAAAAAATTTGAATTAACTTAAAAATATTAACTTACTCTTAATTTTGTGTTGATTGATAGAGCCCCTTTATAAGTACAAATGGTTTAAAAGATTACATAATTTTAACTTCAAAAGACGAACTTAACATTGTTTCTCTTTGACAAATTGGAAGCGTTAGCACAGATCTATTTCTGGTTCTCAATGATAGAACATGATCCAACGGCCTTGAAGCCTTGAGGTGTGGCTGGAAGGTGGAGGTTAACAGGGTGGTGGGTGGCAGTTGGAGAGAGAGAATACAGAATGGGGTTGGTGGCTGGGATATATTGGATGATGTTGTCTTTTTATTTTATTTTTTGGATCTCATTTTTATTTTTGTAGTTCTTATTTATTTATTTTTAAAATTGAATTCAATTATTTATATTAGTTTTTAAAAGTTTTTTAACAGTATATTAATGGATTGGACTACATTCATTGCCTAACGGTTCTAAACACAATAACTAAATTAGCAAACACTAAAAAACACAGGAACCATCTTAACATTTAAGCCTAAAATATATCCGACTTCATTACAACCTTTAATAAAGAGCATAAGAAGGTTTAGAACACCAAACTTTTAATGCTTTTGAGAAGAAAATTGATTTTTGATTTTTTTGAATATAAACGATAGTTTAGTACAAGGGAAACAATATTACAAGGGCATGAATTTGTCTTTACAATTTTGAAGATAAAATGGGCGGGGAAAGAGGTTGAAGATAAGATAGATAGGGAAATAGTAGCACTTAATGAAAAACGTGAATCATTCAAAACGCGTGAAAAACGGCCACCATATCAAGACAAGAAAGAACAAACCTTTTCCATGCCTGGTCCTTCTGCTTTATATCTGTGGCACAGTAATCAATTTGACTTGATTGTGTGAAATGGAAAAGAAAAGTGGCACAAGTCGCTAAAGCTCAAACACGTCTATAAATATATACCTGTCTATCATGAGTATAGTACTTGTGATTTTATTTTGAAGTGTTCAAAATTTTCTTTTATATTACTGTTTTCAAGCCCACTCACTTGTGCAATGATTTCCCCAAGCGCCCTCGTATTTCAGGTGAACCGTTTGAAGCCAGAACTTATAAAACCGTCGAAGCCAACACCTCATGAAACGAAGCTACTGTCAAATGTTGATGACCAGGAAAGCCTTAGGTTTCAGATTCCCGTCATAATGTCTTACAGGAACAATAATCCTTCCTCAATGAACGCAAATCGTGATCCGGTTAAGGTGATTAGGGAAGGACTAAGTAGGGCATTAGTGTATTACTACCCTATGGCTGGTAGGCTCAGGGAAGGGCCTAACAGAAAGCTTATGGTGGAGTGCAATGGAGAAGGTGTCTTGTTCATAGAAGGGAATGCTGACGTCACGCTTGCGCAACTCGGGGACACGATTGCACCCCCTTCTCCATTCTTAGAGGAGTTTCTTTATAATGTTCCAGGCTCTGATGGGATTCTTGGTTGCCCTCTGTTGCTGATTCAGGTGAGTATTTGTTAGCTAACTGCATGTTAATTAATATCTGTTTTTGAATTTCTTGATGGATCTTGGCCCTTCTATACAATGAAAGTTTCTGATTGCTGGAATTTATTTCCATGGAGTCTTTGCCTCTTTATGGATTTGAAGTTGGTAGGTAAATAAAACCATGTGAACGGTGTATCAGAAGCGTGTATCGTCCCAAATAAAACCGTCTACTGACTTCTAAGATTGTACGAATGGTTCATCTATTTTGTCACTAAAACTAAAAAACTATTTTGTGATTTAACCTAAAAAGTCATCACTATAAAACGCCTATGTTTTACCAACACCCCTCCTCCGTTGCGCCGCCCGCTGAACTGCCCCTTACTAGTACACCAAATTTATTTATTTTCTTATTCTAATTTTTACACAGTCAAAAATCACCTTGTAACCCCCGGGTATAATAAACTTCGATATGTACACCCATCAAATACGGGATTTGTAGAAAGGATTTCATTGTTATTCGAGGTTTTGGGATCCTGCCTTTGAAACTCAAAAGCCCACATGTTCGCCCATAAAAGAAATGACATTTTTGCTATTTGTTTCATGATTAATTTGGATCCCGTGTGTTTCACCTTCTTAGCTTGGATTGGATTTGTCAAATTTTTATCCCTTGTCTGTTTTCATTTGGTTCTAGTTTTAAGTGGGAGTGTTAATACTGGCCCACCAAAAACACCTCCTTAGGTGTTCTTAGTGAGACCCGTGTGGAAAGGGAGGACTAGACATTCCCGAGCCTTCGCTAGCGTTCTTTTCCTTATCACACCTCCGCACCCAAGCGCAAGCAACCAGCCACAACCACCGACCACCCAAGCAGCCAAGAGCCAGCAGACCCGCCGAACTCGCCGCAACCACCAAGAGCCAACAGACCCACCCATCACAGATGCTTTCTCTCTCCTCCAGCCGCAACCCAGATATTCACCAAATCTGCCAAAGCCACTACATCATCGTTCCCAATCAGCCATAACCCGGTCGAAATTCAAAGAAAAAACACCACACACAAACCCACTGCATCATCGATGTGCCCCTCTTCCTCAACTCCGTTTCTCTACTTCTCTTTGCAAATCCAAAAAGCAAATTGCAAAACAGAAAAGAAACATAAATGATTTCAAAAATAGAACTAATAAATAAAGAGAAAATTAGACATAAGAAGAGGAGAAGAGAGACAATGGAGAAGAATAAGATGAAAGAGAGGGGGGAGCTGAAGGCAGGGGAGGAGAAAGAAACTGAACAGAGAAGGAGGGGGAGTTTCATTTTTCGTGGTGAGGAAGAAGAAAAGTCAACAAAAAAAAAAAAAAAATTGAAAAAACTTACTTTTCAAAAAAAATATTATTAAAAAATTTAGTCCCAATCCATTCAAATCTACACCACACGTAGTACAAGTGTTATCCAACTTATGTCAGACCAAGTTAATCTAAGACGGTCCCAGAATTTAGTCTAGTCCATGACAATATATCGTACCAAACGACCCCCTGACGGTCTAGAATGGAGAGGAGCAACGCAGTAGGCGGCAAGCACAACGGAGGGAGGATTGGTGGTTGTAAGTAAAACATGAGTGTTCTGAAGTGGCGGCTTTTCAGTTAACTCAGAAATTAGTTTTAAAATTTTTGTGTCAAAATAAATAAATTGATGCTTAGTACGTGTCAATTTTAATTAGAATCTGATTATGTGGCTGATACCACTTCATTTGGGACTCAAATTTGGGGTATAAATTTGGTGTCCCTAGCAAACTCATATACAAGACCCTTGCTGAATATATTATGCAGCAAAATATCTGGAGATAAAAAATTACATGAGAGTATGAAGGAAAAAGCCTAGTGATTAATTCAAGCTTCTACAATATACAGGTAACCCGTCTTTCATGTGGAGGTTTTATACTTGCATTGCGCCTAAATCACACAATGTGTGACGCAGCTGGGCTTGTCCAGTTCTTGAAAGCCGTTGGGGAGATGGCACAAGGTGCACAAGCTCCATCTACTACACCAGTGTGGGAGCGAGAGCTCTTGGGTGCTCGAGATCCGCCACGAATTACGTGTGTGCATCATGAATATGAAGAGGGGATTGATGCTCAAGGCCCGTTTCCAAGAACTAACAAGCCAAACATGGTCCAACGATCTTTCTATTTTGGGGCCAAGGAGATAAAGGCCATTCGGAATCATATTCCACCGCAGTTATCAACCTGCACTACATTTGATTTGATAACAGCTTGTTTGTGGAAATGCCGCACACTTGCACTTAGAATGAATCCAAAACAAGTTGTTCGCCTTTCATGCTTAGTCAGTGGGCGCGGTAAGCGCCACAATGTACGTCTTCCCTTGGGATATTATGGCAATGCGGTTGCATTTCCTGCTGCAGTTTCAGAGGCTAAAGCTATATGTACAAATTCACTGGGATATGCTTTGGAGTTGGTAATGAAGGTAAAAGCTACAGTGAATGAAGAGTACATGAGATCAGTTGCAGATCTTATGGAAATAAGAGGACGACTACCAAAATATCCATTGACAGGAAACTTCATAGTTTCCGATA